CTGCCTGACATTGCAATTAGCAGTTGCGCGTTGCTAGATTGTAGGTAGACCAACTTTATGAAGTCCTTGTGCTATGGCAAGGCCTGTACACCCTATGAGATCACATAAAACGGTGAGCAAGTGCTTAATACGCAGGGACCATTCTCAGGGCCAAATTTGTACCTACCTGCTCCAATTATAATTACGGGGTCGGATGGACCAAGCGGAGAATCTTGAAAATTGTCCCCCATAACTTTGTTGAGATGATGATTGATACAAGACGAAATGAAATTGAGATTAAAAACTGGAAGGGTAATAAAAGCTCGGCGATGAGAGTCTCTTATACAATTCAAAGCTATTTTAGAGGAAAACCCACGTCCCTGGAACTAATCTATCTTTGCTAATTGTTTACTTACGTCGGAGCCAAATGAAGCAAGATTATTGCGTTAGTAGTAGATCAATCTGGATCGTGATTGGATTTGATTTGGAAACCCCGATTCATGTTGTCTTTGAAGAGTTGGATCATCGGTGAATGATATCTTTAAGTCGCGGGTATATGGTACATTTTGGTATCGGTGGAAGTCTCTACTTGTATCAAGAAGTATCCCAGCATCCACTTTCGATTGTCAGTGGATAAAACATCTCGGTCATTGTTGATTAAATCATGACGAGCCGAAGTATCCGTGATGGATAATGCAATATTCTTGCATGAGAAACAAGAGGACGAAGGCGACATTAAGAAGAGATGATTATGGTCGCAAAAACCTCGTGGAGTCCAGTACAACATGGTCCAGCTACCTTGGCAGGTTTGGACGGCGAGGAGGTGTACGTGAATAAATCTCTTGCAAAATGATCTGGCCCCCTTGACTAACACACACTACTTGCGGCTCTTCCCGCACTCCTTGGCATCTCTCCTCATGAAAAAACCCGTAGTTACTTTGGATTACTGTCCAAGTAAAAATAGCACTTCACAATACATGCCGCCTCGACGTCTTGCTCAACTAGAACACCATCAGCGGCTGGAAGTATTATACGTAAGCCATAACTCGCTCCTTGGCGCTTCTATCATTTGATTACTCTTTGCTTAAAACCGAGTAACGAATGATTGTAAGAAGTCATTTGTTTTAGATGCAACTGAACCAGATCTTTTGATTATTGAATAAAGATCACTAGAGTTTAGACGCGTCATTGCCTGATTAATTTCTGCACAAGTAAGAAGCGAAAGATGGAGAAGTTACATTCGTTCCGGAGACGAAATTCTCCCAACAGTTGGGTATAAAAGATACATCTGATCTTAAATTCATAATTGTAATTCAACTTACAAGTTTGAATCATCCTATCGCACGATAAAGTTGGAGTAATTTAAAACATAAATCCTTCAACTTCCTTCACATTTTTCACTCCTGAGATACTTTCCGTACACGATTCGTCTCTGTAAATATCCCTTTCGGAGTCTCACCATAATAGATTAGATATCGATATCCCATCGAATTTCGAAAATTTTGAGAATGGCGACAAACGGGCAGAAGGAATACTTTAACAATTATGATTCTACATTGAAGGGATCCTTAATAGAACACAATACCGATACATCGGCTAGCTAAATCACAGATAATAGTTAATAGATTCGGATGCGTGATCATGCTTATCAAGATGAGGAGTATTCGGTACGGAATACTGTTATTTGAAAACCGGACGGATACTGAACTCTATGGATAGGTACCAAAAGATGAATCTTCTAATGATTCAAGAGATTCTGCCTAGCAAATGTATCTGGTAACATTAGATGGTAGAATTTATTTAGCTCTTTTAAACAAGACTCGTTATATATCAGAATAAATATAACAAGCTCTTTATTTCATGAAAATTAGTTCGAGGTCCCTTCCATACCCTTTAGTTTTTTGCTTTGTATCCATCGTCCAAATGTCATAACAATACAGAAATCACCCAATCTAGACTGGCACTGATCCGTGCTAGAAAAGTGTAGAGACTAGCACCGGGGTATGGATAATAAAATTCTGAGCTTCTAAAGGCTAAATGGTCTCACTTAAAACTTTCATCCTGATTTTGTTCAGGGAACTGTGTCTGAATAAAATCCATTCGCATCTGTGATTAACACTGAGCTTTCTTCAATCCAGACCTTGTTCGTCCTACCCACTTGAGTCATCGAGATCGAGAACACAAAAGTCGATAGGACATCGCTCAAAAAGAAACATGTCTTCATTCATATACGAAAACTGTTTGGCTCTCTCGTTGATTGGGACTATTTCTTTTCGAAGACATTTTCATTTCTGCAACATGACATGTGGTGTGTCGAAGTCTTGAAGCATAGCGTATGGGCGGTCTCCGATAACGATACGTTACGTTTCGTGAGACTAGCTTGTGTGAGAAATGGGAGAAGGCGTTGACAGTTCTTTGTGCGACAAGTTCGGCAAAAGCTTCACGACTTGGTAGGTAGATTGAGGGAAGCTACAGGACTGAGGATGTGGTGGAAGTAAGGCATAGATGGGTCATAAAATCCATGACCAAGTCTCGCGCATATTTCCGTGTTAGGGACTGAGATAAAAAAAAATAGGAGGGTTTGAAGGAACTGAGCCGATGGAGCCAGTATAGAATATCTGAAGAAATGGAAGAATGTATGAGTAGATCGCTGATTGTGGTAGGTGATGCACGAGTGCTTCTGTTTTTCTTCTCATCAAAATGGGTCTTCTTAAACTGAATCTTTCTTGATGTGACATGACTAGTCCTGTGATGTTGCTCATCTGTTCCTGGCCGGAATGAGAAAGGCACCGAAGGACAAGAATATCCACGCCCATCCAGACGTATAAGTTCTGACTCTCTTGTACAGATTTGATATTAATGATAATGGTACCGATATATATAGTCATAAACCATGAGCTATACTGCATCCACCGCTTCTATACTACCACTGTTTCCATACCACAGCCATAATCTTTGAACTTAGGCTCAAAATGAGGTGAAGCGCTACGATTCTGTACCTCTTAAGAATCCTACGAATCTTTTGATCCTTAAACTTTCAAATTCAACGATGAATTGCGGTTCATCTCTTTATGAGGCGTATCACTTGATATACAAGTGAAGATAGGATGTACCCAAGGCGTCGCGGTATTTCCTCTTTTTGCCATATCTAGAGTGTTTGTATTTGCCTCAAAAGAATGCAAAAATGAAATACTACTACTTTATCAGAAATAGAACAATCTCTTCATATGTCTTCCAAATTTGTAGATTTTACGGGCTTAAGTCAATGAGACCATACATAGATCGACCAGGGACTCACCGCAATTTTCATTATGGCACTTGCGAAATGAGTGATTGGTGGTCATTAATCCTTCCCATTCCTGCAACCTTACACAGATCATATCGACGCAAACCAAATGTCATTGGAAAGGGTAATATACGGGCCGCATAGACTTCGCAAGCAGGATGGAAAACTGAATAGGCATTTTGCGAAGGAAATGAGACGTGCAACAAAACTTCTAACATAAAATATATTGGTGAGAGTGAATTTTCATGACTTTCAGTGCATATGATGTGCAGAGTTGGATGGATGCTGTGTCAGGTTATTTTGTGCGATAGGTATGTTCACCCGCACGAGATCGGAAGATCAATTTGTCTTGGAGCAACATGATTTAGTTGTATATGCAATAGACACTCAGCCCAAGTCATATTTCTGGATAAGAATCTACATCCATAATGTTCTTTGAGAACACGATTGGATGTGGTGATGGTGAGATTTGATCACCTTGCAAGTGACAATTACTTTCAGTTCGAGAGGTGTGCTTTTAGCGCTGTTTGGCTACAATCACTCGCTTCTATTCTGTTGTATGATGCTAATCAAAGCATAGAATTGAAAATTAAATAATTCCACCCATTTGATTGAAATATCAACCAAGAGGGATTCTCCTTTGGAACAACATCGCTCGACTTTCAGCTTCAGTTTAGATGTGTAGTCGGGCTGATGGACATCGATTATTGCCATTACATTGGTCTTCTGAGCTCGGCAACGCTTTGAAGGAGCGGCCGGGATATTAGAGCCGACAAAGACGACATGGGAACTTTTGGAAAAGACCGAATCACAACGACAGTTGACGTAAGCTTATTCGATCTCTTCATGAATCGTGAGAAAAGGGTGATTTTGGGGAGGACTTATGATGAACCCCAATAGGATATACTAGCTCACGAAGATCTTCAAAACTTTTCGGAGGCTTCTATGTAACATAACCTCTCAATTGTGAGCGTTCGGTTGAGGCTACGGAAAACAGCTCAGCGAACGGGAAGTCGCCGATTTTTTCTTCTCACTAGATACACGGTTTATTGACTGCTGCGAAAGCTGCACTGAGTGCATCACCGGCATGGAACGGGTTCCTGCGCCCGGCGATCAGCTCAATTATGCGGATGTTTTTGGAAGAGTACATCATCTAGTCCATGTATCTCTCTTACAAACACCCGAGATTGTCTAGCTTCCGCTGTGTAACAGCCACCGCCGCCTTCACGAAAATCAGACACTGATTTGAGAAGAACCCGAGTCACAAATCGCCCTCGAATTCAAAATCATTTGAGTATTGAAAAGAGTCGATCAATGATAAATCAAATTTGGCAACAAAGAAAAATGACAAAAGTAGCATTTCATGCCGAGGAGCTGGCCAGCCAATTTTTGTGTCATAAAGTTGCTGTAGGACTGGAATCTGAAGTATTATTACCGACTGCCACTGTGGGACGATTTTGAACTTAGCGCAATGAAAGGTCTCCAGTGAGCTCTTTGCATAACTAGCCTGTAATTTTATTGGATTGTTAAATAAACTTCCGAGTCATTAACACGGGAAAAGTCAATTTAAACGAACCAGTGGCATATTCGCCATCATCTCCGACCAAGTTTCGTTGGTCTATTTATAATATCAGGGTTTGACAGCACAAATTATTCCATGTACGAGTATTATTCATGAATAGATATGAATAGAGAATAGATGGATACGCCGTTGTGGCACAGACTCTCTAACGGAGGTTTCCCCGGAATGCTTGCTTCGGCACTACAGCACATCTGTTCACATCAACCCTCTTTCGTGCTACTAGTTACATCGCGGAGACTGCATATTCCTATCAAAGATACGTCAACAGGTATGGAGAGTTCGCCATTGAAAAATTGTAGGTACGCGGGCTTCTCCTTTGAAACCATTCAAATCGAATTCTACTCCGAAGTGTCTTTCCCGGGGTATCATCAGCGTTGTGTTTAGCAATGGTCAGCTACCGATATGATTACAAGGTTTGAGATCTCCACCAAAAGAAATGTTGTGGCAAGTCCACTCAACCATAACGTGCGTCCTGCGGAGAGTGCGTAGGGAAAAGATGCGGATATGCAAAATGCTCTGATCTATACACAACCCTCCTTCTTTTCCCTTGTGCTCTTGTTTCTTTTGCTGCTTTGCTATTTTGCTTTCTTTTGATGCCTCTGTCTTTTCACGGACTGGTATGGCTTTAACACATACTATTGTTGTGCTCTGCGTTTGTTTCTAACGTTATTCTCGTCGTTCTTACTGCAATCCACACAATTTGACGCTCACTATATCGAGCGATAATGCCTTCTTTTGCTGATCAGCCAGAAGAGGTGAAAATCAGAGAACGAAAAAGAGTAAGGAATCTCTTGAGGTAAGAGTACTCAGAGTTGTATAGAGGCGGGCTAATTTTTAATTTTTGTCAGGTATTATACCCCGGAGAAATGGAAGCTCACCAGAGAAAGTGAAGACTATGATATCGAAACAAACGGGAGAGGAATACCTGAAACCACATGTGAAGCGGCAGAACAACCGGATATAGCAGAAGACCCGAAAGAAAACGAAACAGGGGGACCGGATTCTTCAAAACGACTTCGTCATGATCCTACATTGACAGCATTTGCGCAGCTCGGCGCATATCGATTAAATACTGAAAGATCTTTTATTTCTCTTATGGATTCACATAATCAATACATCATTGCAGAAGCAACAAGGAGTGTCTCTTTACATGAAAGAGACGTTACGAAACCTGGCGATGAGATCTTCCTTGGGGCCCGCATTCTGGATATGCATTGGGGAATATGTCCAAACACTATTCAAATATTCACGGCCAAAGACGATACTGGAAATTTGAAAACAAACCTTGTTACAGCAAATCAGACTCAGTACGTAATGAATGATCTCTCTGCTATCGAAAAATACAAAAATCGCCCCTACATCGCGGGATGGCCGCATATGAGATATTATGCCGAGGTTCCTATATATAGTGAGTTGTTCGATCAATTTATTCGTTGAACATAGCTTTCTTGGACATTCGGTCATCCTCAGACTCATCCTCGAGCCTCTCATTTCTATCAACCAGCCATGAAAAGTCTGCACAGCTGGACTAAAATTGCCATATATTTGGGTTTCATTTTCTGATCACAAACATTCCTGTCGGATTGTCATTTTCTGTATCTCAAGGCTGTGGAATAATTCACAAAACTGGCATTTGTTCTGACTACGACTTTAATAGGTCCGGAAAATATTGTAATAGGAACATTTTGTGTAGTAGACAACAAACCACGAATGGAGGGACTAGACGAGGAGGGATTTATCATATTAAATGAGATTGCAAAAGCAATTATGAGTCACCTTGTTCTCATCGAAAAACAAGACCATCTAGAAAGGGGAGAGAAGATGGTTAAAGGCTTGGGGTATTTTGTCGCTGGTAAATCCAACTTGGGCGAAGGATTAAAGGATACATCACAAAATGGAATGGATCCTCAGAATGCGTCTCAATCTCATCCAATCGACACATCTGGCTCATCATCAATAACAACAGAAAAAATGGAGATTCGCCAAACACAAGTGAATTCCGTTAGCCCACCAGATCAAATCAGCAAGTTATCTTCTCTTTCGTCTGGGTTTGAAAAGGCTAGAATGGTCGGGAAAAATAGGCCCAGTATAAGTAGAACCTCTTCGACGGAATCCGCTCGACAAGAAACCTTTGCGATCACGCGACTCAAAAAGGTATTCTCCCGAGCGAGTCAACTTATTCTTGAGGCCATGAGTCTTGATGGAGTTGTATTTGTTGATGCATGCTTCAGAGATTCGGCAAGCAAACTTGCATCCAAGAATAAAATTGTTTCCAGTGCAACCCATGATAAGTCTCAAGGTTGGACTCAAAATAAAGACGTGATCAAAGTGCCAGCTTCTTTGGATGAGATAAAACTTAAAGGTAGGCGAGTAGGGAAGGTTTTGACAAGTGATTTGCTTGGATGCAAAATCAGACATGATCAGAATTCCTCTCATTTGGATGAGCCTACAAACATCACCCTCACACAGGCGACTGTTAAGGGCTTAATGACATGTTATAGCCAAGGTCGAATGTTTGTTTTGCATGAAGATGGATCTTTAAATCTTGATTTAGAACCAGAGTCATTCGAAATTTGCGAGAATGGGAATGTCGAACCTGATAGAAAATTGGTCGCAGCTTGGGTCGCAGAGCTGATAAAAATTTGTCCCGGTGCACGCACAATTGTGTTTTTTCCTCTGAGAGACCAACAGCGAGAGTGAGTATTTATATGTGCGGCTATAAATTCTACCATTCATAAGAGGCAAGAATTCTGGCCTGTAATATCTCCCAATACTGTTTTCTCAACATCACCCTGTCAGTAAATATTCATTTCTAATCATGTGCATAGTCAGTGGTTCGCGGGAAGCTTTGCATGGACAACAAGAGAGCTCAGAATCATGACCGCTGAAGATCTCACCTATCTTACAGCTTTTGGGAACTGTATTATGGCGGAAAAGTCCCGTCTAGACTCCGAACTTGCAGATCGTGCCAAATCCGACTTCATCTCTGTGGTATCTCATGAACTACGCTCGCCGCTTCATGGGTTCGTATTCAACCATCTCTCTGATATGAATTACCAAGCTGATCTCCCCATCTAGTGTATTAGCCAGTGCAGAAGCACTTCGAGATACTTCGACTGGCGATGAACAAGATGATATGATTCGTTCTATCACCATTTGTGGTGAAGTTTTATTGGATACCATGGATCACATGTAAGAAAAGGTTTAGTGTATCGAATAAAACACTGCTAACTCTATAAACAGTCTGGATTACGCAAAGATTACAAACAAAGGAGACACTAAGGATATGAAGGACCTCCCAGTACAATCGAACGGGCTAAATGCCGACTTTGATCTCAGTAATCTCATTGAAACTGTCATCGAAGGAGTCTCGGCGGCACAAAGTTTCCGACAGTTAACTTTCGCGGGTCCACCTGCCGTTGATACCACTCACCTAGATGCGATCTCAGATGAAAATCACATGTCAGATAATGTTGTAATTGTTCTTGAAATCGATTGGCAAAGCTCGTGGACCTTTAACTCTCAGATAAGTAGTTGGAGGCGCATTTTGATCAATCTTTTCCAAAATGCACTCAAATACACCGAGTTTGGGTATGTTCAAGTTCGTCTGACAGCATATGAAACCGCGGATGGTCAAGTTGCGAGATTATCTGTTGTTGATTCAGGGAAAGGTATATCCAATAATTATTTGAAGTACGAGTTATGGACACCTTTTGTACAAGAAGATCCTATGAGCATTGGTACAGGATTGGGACTCTGCATCGTTGGCAAATTGGTCGATGAGCTCGACGGGACAATTGATATATCAAGTACAGTTGGTGCGGGCACAGTTGTCCAAGTGGAAATTCCAGTCAAACATTCGGCGGCATTTGATGAGGATGAAGAGACAGACAGCAACAGACTGATACGAGAGACAAGAGATCGTTGCCGAGGATTATCGATGTGTCTTCTCGGTCTTGATAACTATCCTGATCCGTGCGAGATACCTACAGATGTGCGGTCTGCACAGGATAGAAGAATGACTGCGATTAAGTCCGCGTTGGCAAATTATGCCGGTGATTGGTTTGGTATGGTTATTCGGAAATCTTGTTCTAGTGCTTCTGCTAGCGGTTTCATTTATGTTTGTTTGAAATCAAATCTTTATCGGACGGACGGAACTCGACGGAAACCTTTGATTGTATTTGAGGATACAACGAGAATATTGGATAAGGAAGAAGGTGAATTTTATCTGACACAACCGTAAGTAATAAATCTTTCCCGTTGAAGTTTTGAGAAATCTCTTCTATCCACATTTACCATTATTAATTACTAAATCATGATTGTTTCTGACTTGTCATTAGGTTTGGTCCCTACAAATTGGCGAGGATTTTGGGACAATGCATCGACTATCTTCAATCCAAAGACCCTAAACCAAATGATAATGATCCATCCAGTACATCACCCAGATTACCATCTAGCACAGGTTCCACCCCGATGCTCACGCCATCTAGTAATGACTATCCCAGCGTTAGGAATACCGAAGTAGATTCCAAATATGTCGAAAAGGAAGAAAGACCCAAATTGGTCTTCTGTCACCACTCCAGCGAATCTATAGAATCGGTGAGACCCAAATTCGAAGTACGTAAGCATTCAAATGAATCAACGGACTCGGCAGTCGACATGAGATCAAGTGAAGAGCCTGTCGTGACTTATCACTCCTTTCCCTTTCCAGAGGGATTGCCACATTGGTCCAAGATAGAGAATGGAGTACCTCAATTGATTGATATACAGGGGAAATTGGACGGAAAGGAAATGGAGGAACCTGTCGCAATTAGTGCGCCTGATTTATACAACGCAGGCGCAGCTTTAGAAGGACATACAAGTTCAGAAAAACAGTTTTCTGTTCCCGAAAGACCGTTTATGCTTGAAGAGTCTGTGGGCTTGAATTTCTCAAATCTGGAGAACCTGGCCATTATAGAAAATGCTTCTGTTACTCCAGAAAAATCCCAGATTCTTGGAAAACCGTCAGCCATTGAGAGACCTTCGATAGTAGCCACTGATAAACTTGGGATCGTTGAGAAGGGTAAAATTGCCTCGAAAGCAGCATCTATTGAAAAGCCAACAGCAACCTCGGAATCACTCATCCTCTCGAAAGCAGCAGTTATCGAGATCGCCAAGCCAGAGCTAGAACTGGTATCGACATCTGAATCTTCTACTGCACCAACTGTCAAAGATTCCGCACGTGCAGTCGTCCTTCTTGTTGAAGACAATATCATCAATTTGAAAGTAAGCCTCCTTACCCTTCCTTCCATCCCGTAGCACTTAATTCCCAACATTCTAACGCTGCACCAGGTACTTGTCCACAGCATGAAAAAATTGCAAGAGGTGTACGACACTGCATCCAACGGTCTCGAAGCATTCGAGAAATACAAAAAAGCACCTGGATCACTCAAATTGATTTTCATGGGTAATCTCCCTTCTCCCAACCCATACCCATCTCGTGTTCCCTTCTGACGTCAAGCCCGCCCCCCACTAACCCCTCTCAGATATATCATGCCCATAATGGACGGACTCACTTCCGCGCGTTACATTCGCGACTACGAAAGCCTCCACAATCTTCCCCGTGTTCGTATCGTCGCTTTAACCTGTTTTGGTACTGAAGAACATCGTCGAGACGCTGCCATGAGCGGTATTGATATCTTTCTGACTAAGCCAATTAATATGAAGAGTTTGAAGCCGGTTGTCGATTTGGATCCAGAGAATGTGGAGGAGGGAGTGATGGCGGAGAAATTTTAAGTGCTACCTTTTCTAATAATCTTCGTTGAATGCAAAAGATCGTAGTGGGTGGGGAAGGAATGGACTGGATTGGACATATTTGGATGTTCGGAGTTTTGTATTTTCTTATTGGCTGTGCTCGGAAGGATCAGGCTCCGTCATCTATTCATCTTCGGATGTACTTTTTATGTATAATCGACGTAGCGTTCTTACCTTGAAAATTGAAACGTGTTTTACCACCAAGAGAGCCAACATGGATTTTGTATAAATTGTCCTCTGGTTCATTGTGCTTATTGGCACATCTTTTCTATGCCACTCAAACCCGAATATGAAGCAACAACCCAGGTGAATCAAAAATACAAAATGAGTCATTATTCCTCATCTATCTAAGCTTAAAGTAAACTATTAACCAATCCCAACATGCAAGCAGAAACGAATGGTATCATTTATTTCATCCATCCATCTTCATCTTTCATGTATCATAGCACTGCTCTTCGTACAAAATTACAAGGTCGTTTGTTACCGTTCTTCATTTTCTCTTTCACCTTAGCCAATCCACTTCTCATGCATACACTTATAATACACCTTCACGACCCTCATCCCTCAGTCCTCAGCCTTGACTCCCACTACTTCCCCCGGCCTTATCCCCCATAACATCAATATACCCTCTCCCCTTCTTACCCTTTCTAACCGTTCCCTTCCTTGAACCCGCGGTAGGCGGCCCCAACAAATCATCAATACTGGATGCAGTGCTCATTCCCGTACTTGGTCTAGTGGGTGGTGCACTTCCAGTACTCATCAATCCACTCAAATTTCCACCCATTGCACTCCCGTTACTCTGCGTCCTAGCCATTGCTGGGACCATAGGAGGCTTCACCAGCCCACCATCAGCCAAACTTCCAATATCGCTAGAACCACTAGAAGCTCTTTGAGGCGGTGCGCTTGCTGAGCTAATGGATCGTGGAGGCATGTTTAAATGACCTGCCGCAATGGGCATCACGCTACCGCTAGCTGATCTTGGTGGACCTGTAGCTCTTGGTGGAGGTGGAGTTGCTGATGGAGTAGGGGTGTTTTCTGCCCCTGCTTTTTTATTGATCCATCTCTTAAGATCTGGATCATAGACAAAGCTACTTTCTTCGCCAAGTTTGGCTCTAATAGCTTTCTTTTCTTGTACGGCATCGGACGAAGCGGTGTCTTTTTTACCACCTCCGAACCAACCAAGACCCCAGCCTTTCTTTTGTGGAGCGGGCTTTTTATCCTTTGCAGCTAAAGAGTTGTTAGTATCGTTCTGAGGCATTGAATCCAAGGTGTACTTACCATCAGCTTCAGCGGCTTTGCGGAAAGCCTCATCTGCTTCTCTATCTTTCTCCGCTTTAGTCTTTTCTCGACTTGTATCTACAGGCGCCTTCAATGCAGGAATATCATCATCGTCATCATCCATGAAGCTCTTCTTTGGCTTTGTGCTGATCGGCGAATCGGATTGCTCCATTGAATTAGGCTCATATGATGGAGGCTCGTATCCTGTGCTTAATGAGGGTGGTTCATAAGAGCTTCCAGTCGGTGGCTCATATCCAGTCGAGGATGGAGGTTCATATCCATTGCTAGATGGGTCACCACCTCCCATATGTGGTTGATACGAAGGTTGTCCATCAAAACTCATGGGTTGTGGTGAATCGAAATTGGTTGATGGAGTTTCCATTGCAGAAGGAATAGCTTGTGGAGTATAAGGAGAATCACCACCAGTATATGGATTATAACCACTAGAATGAGGTGTGAAGCTAGAGGGTTGATTGTATTGCTGAGAAGCTGGACGATATTCTAAAGACATTTGTCTTTGTGGTTCATATATGTTTCGACGGAATTCACCCGATGTTCTACCACCCTCAAATGAAGTTCTAGGCTGCGAACCATGTGAGGAACTTGGTGGCTCATATGATCCTTGTGGAGTATAAGTAGAACTTGCACCTGGGGCGTATCTCGAAGATGCCTTGGTTTGTGGTGGTTGAGTTGCTGACATGATTCCATTGATACCCAAACCCCCACTTCCATTATATGAGCTACCATAAATATCGGCAACTGACGGCGATCTGCTTATAGTTGGAGTACCACCAGCAATGCGTGCAAATGGACCAATATCAGCCTGACTTCCAGCATTCGACATAGTATCGGTAGTATCCTGTTCGTCACCAGCAACGAATTTATTGAATGTTGCCCATACAGAACCAGAGACTTTGTCAATGCTAGGTTTTGAGATCCAAGACCCGTTTTCATCCTTGGGTGACGATTTTAATCTGTTACTAAGATCATCAAGAGATGAAACTAATTGGCCATGATGATATGGTGATCTTCTTGTTTGAGAAGTGATTGTCGAAGCAATACTCTCACAATATTCTAAAGCTTTTTGTCGATGTCCATACTCTGCTAAAACTGCAGCATGATGCAATTTGTAAACTGCCAAATGAGGGCTGGATGTGACGATGCTAGAAGTATTTGAGAGCGATAAACCATACTCGTAAACTTCACTGAGAAGAACTGGTTCCAATTCCCTATCGAAGTCAAATGGTTGCCTCAAATGATCAGAACCAATGAGTACCACATTTGTACTTGGATCATCAATTCCTCCAAATACAGATGAAGTCCTGGCAAACAGGTAACAAATGTGTGCAGCTTCAGCTCTGCCATAACCGGAAAGAAGTTTTCCCAAGGCAGTTAAAGCTTTACTGTCATCTGTACTTCGGTTACTTAGAACAAGACCAAGTGTCTCACGCCATCTATCAAGACCTTCAAGTGCATCCTTTGAAGAAGTCATTGATGTAGATGTGCTGACCATTTGGAAACCGGCACGGGCAGATGGTGGAACGAGCTCGTCGATACTTTCTTCAAAGTTGCCAGCAAAAATCTCATACAAGGCAGCAAGAGGCTCAGTATTATCACCGACGTTCTTCACCTCTTTTTGTACGAATTCTTGGGCAACTTGTTTGTAAAGTTCCTTTGACACAGTGTTTGAAATCAGCATTGCATGTGCCCAGAGTCGTTTATCAACAGCTTCCCAAACAGCTTTCTCTCTATCTCCTCTCAATAGATGCTTTCTCATGCGATCTACAGCAGCAGGGTCGACGGGATCAGCCGTTGTTGGATTGGTGGATGACGATGAGATACCGGAAAGATCTGCTCCGGTTGCATACAATGGCGATTCTTGACCAACCTCATTTTCGATACCTGGGGAGAGGATAGCTCTAACAGCTTTTTCAACAACAGGATTCCCTTCCAGAATACCGTCATTCTCGATGAATATTTGTAAAATTTTCCAGAGAAGTAAACGTTCTTCAGTACGTTTGTCATCATGAGACAAAACTTGGAGAGATCTTAGGTAGGATGCACTTTGTTCCAATATCTCTATACCAGATGCCAACCAAGATAGAACTTCCTTCTTCTTTGCCTTCCCCTTCAATGGGCCAGGGAAGCTTGTCAACCTGTTTTCTAATGGATCAAGGTCTTTAACATTTCGGACTTTAACTTCTCCAGGACTTCTAACAACCATGGGTGTTGTTGAAGTTATACCGTATCGAGGTACATCTACGGGGAAAGATGTAATCATGGTACCTCCGACGCCCCAAGTAAAAACAGGACAGCCTTTCCATCGTTGCAAAGAATCATGTTCACGGCCATCTATGGGGGCGACATAGTTAACCAAGGATGGTGCTCTGAGGCGCCCAGGGGCGTGAAATGTTGGTTGAGTAGGGGTGAATGCAGATGCGTTCCTAGGGGATAGAGCCTCAATAGAAGCTGGCCTTTGATATGGTTCAGGAATACTCATTTCAAGTCGAGATCCACCAAAAGCTCTACCAGGAGATTGTGTTTGGGATCTTGGCGGTGGGACGAAGCCATGAGCTGGAGGTGGGCTCAAGGTATTAGAAGAATGCTGTGGCGTGTATTGCGATGGCGATGATCTTTTCGGAGGTGATCTAGCCATACGAGCAGCAATGCTTGAATTGGGCGGTGGCGTTTGAGAAACCGAACTCATTCCTTGTGCAGGTGAAGCAAAAAACTTTGGCTGTTCACTATATATTGGAGTGTGCGGTACGCCGGCATCATTTTCATCGAGCTCTCTAGTGGGTGGAAGTGGATGTGCCCTCAAAATAGGCTCATATCCTGATGAGCTACGACGATCATAATTCGGGATCTCGCCACCGGGACCATGCCCGCGCGCATCTTGGCTCCTCTCAAAGTGAGCCAATGGACTCGAAGTTCGAGGTAAATGTGGTAATATCGCTTGCGGCGGTGATTGAAGATTTGCTGACGGTGACGGCGCATATTGTGACCGTGTTTGAGGCGGGGCAGGAGAATATCTAGACTGTATGGCTGGTACTGGAGCGCTTGTTGAATGTTGTAAAGGTGGTGGTGCTGGAGAATATCGTGATGTTACAGAAGGTACAGAGGTTTGTAATTGTTGACCTGCCGATGCAATAGAAGCGTAAGGACTTACACGCTCAGGGGCTGTCAAGCCACCTTGAACCATTGGAGGTGATTGCATGGGTGGCTGAAGAGATGGTGGTTGTCGCATGGTCGCTTCTTGATGAATTGGAGTCGAATGAGGAGGGTGAACAGAAGCGGGTGCGTAGTTTTGTGAATGCCCAGCATTGATTGACGGAGTATATTGAGAAGGTGCAGGTGTAGTCTGGTGTCGAGGAGCAGCCTTGGGTCTGGAAAGAATAGGAAGATCCTCGAAGAAACCACTATCTGCACCAGACTTCGGTTTTTGCGTACTGGGCCCAGTGGGAGGAGTATTCATCGCAGATTGCTGTTGTTGCTGAAGGGGATACGCACTTGGTGGTGGATTGTTCAGACTGGCAGCCCTGGGAGGAGCTGGAGGAGCTGATGCGTTATATCCACGATTCATTTGATTTGTGCTTACTCGTTTACGAGGTTTTACAACTTCCATTGGCAAATCATAAGGAGATGCGTAACCCCCTTTAGCTTTGTCGGCAAAACTTTGAGCTTTAGGTAATTCAGGACGTTGT